GACAGCAGAGGGAACAGAGCGAGAGCCGCAGAGGAAGGAAGGAGAGGGTCGTGGGAAAGTGAGCTGGGCACCGAGAAAGGAAGGGAAGCCGTAGGCTGCCTGGGTCCCTGAGGGCGGCGGGGTGCCCCTGGCCTGCTCACGCTGGGCTGACATGGCTGATGTCCGTTTGTGCGGGTGTGTGATGGGCAGCGGTCACTGTCCCAGACGGGGCCTGGAGTCGTGGAGGAGACAGGCTGGAGGAGGGGATGATGTGAGCGATTGTGCTGACTAGGTTGGCTGGAGTGGGGAGACACCCTCACTGACCTTGAACGGCGCCATTCCCGGGGTCTGGACCCAGGGCTGATGAAAGTAGGAAGTTGACAGTGCCAGCACCCTCCATGTCCTCTCCATGGTGAGCTGCAGCCTCCAACTGTGAGCCAGAGTTAGCCCTTTCCCCTGTGACTGCCTTTGTGGGGACGTCTCAGCACAGCCACAGGAAGGTTACTGAGGAGATTTTTTTATTTTTTTTTTTTATTTTTTTTTGCATTGGGTTGTCTTCGGTGGTGGTGGTGGTGGTGGTGGTTCCCTGACAGGCCTAGAACTTCACAGGTATCTTAGACCGACCTCAAACACACAATCCTCCTGTCTCAGAGCCCTGTCTCTACCTCTAGAGTGCTAGGGTTTAAGGCAAGAGACAAGGCATCGTTGATGTTTCTTTTATGTGTGGCACCCTCCCAGAAAGGCCCACCTCCCTGTTGGTGTGGGACCTGCTGCAGGTCAGCTCAGAGAAGAGATTATAGGAAATGGGGCCACGGGCTGGAGAGGCGGCTCAGCGGTTAAGAGCACTGACCGCTCTTCCAGAGGACCCAGGTTCAACTCCCAGCAACCACATGGCAGCTCACAACTGTCTGTAACTCCAGCTCCAGGGGACCTGACACCCTTACACAGACATACATGCAGACAAAATGCCAATGTACATGAAATAAAATAAATAAATGTTTAAAAAGGAAAAGAAAAGAAACGGGACTTATCCTGGAGGTATGAGGAAATAAAATCTGCACGGTTTTAACGTGAAGGCATCCTCATTATGGAGCACTCGTTCTCTCTCTCTCTCTCTCTCTCTCTCTCTCTCTCTCTCTCTCTCTCTCTCTCTCTCTCTGTGTGTGTGTGTGTGTGTGTGTCTCTCTGTGTGTATCTGTCTGTCTGTCTCTGTGTGTGTGTGTCTCTCTCTCTGTGTATGTGTCTGTCTGTCTGTCTGTCTCTGTGTGTGTGTGTCTCTCTCTGTCTCTGTGTGTATGTGTCTGTCTGTCTCTGTCTCTCTCTCTCTGTGTGTGTGTGTGTGTGTGTGTCTCTGTGTGTATCTGTCTGTCTGTCTCTGTGTGTGTGTGTCTCTCTGTGTCTCTGTGTGTATGTGTCTGTCTGTCTGTCTCTGTGTGTGTGTGTCTCTCTGTCTCTGTGTGTATGTGTCTGTCTGTCTCTGTCTCTCTGTCTCTCTCTGTCTCTGTCTGTCTCTCTCTCTCTCTCTCTGTCTCTCTCTCTCTGTCTCTCTCTCTGGAAAAGATTGGTGTTTTATTTTGTGGGAACCCAGATGGAATCTGTCGCATGGTCATAAAACACAGAAACTTGTCTGAATTTTAGGAAAAGCAACAGCTTTTTTTGCTCATGGGTCAAATTTGCAGCCCAAGTGTCTCTCACCAAGTACACACAGACTGGTATTTCACCAGGATATCAAAAGCTGTGCCTGATATTTATGGTGCGGGTTTAGGGTCAGGGAGAGCTTAAGAAGTTGGTGGTAGCATGACTAGAAACCCATTTTAAAGATGAGCATACTGAGGCTAACCAAGACAAGAGAGGTGGCTTAGTGACTCAGAGCCCTTGTCAGTCTTGGGTAGAGTAGGATCATGAGCTAAGGTTTCTGATTTTCCTGATCTCATGCGCTGGCAGGCAGAATCGTTTGTTCTGATGGCTTCTCTGAGTACTTTAGAGTTCCACTGCATATTTAGTGTCTGGGGAAAATGGGGTGTTGGTTGCTTTTTCCTCCTCCCCCTCCTAAACATAAATTAATCAATATTAGCCGTGTCTGTGTAACCAGGCAACAAGCAGATTTTCGAAGGTTCATGGCTGGATCCCTTTTTGTCGTTACACTTAATGTTCTCGCGGCCTGAATGGCTCTAGGTCCAGGCTGTGTGTCAGGACAGTGCCGAGCCTATTGTAGGTGACTGTGTGCTCTTCCCTGGGAATCCGTGCCAGCAGAATCCGGTTCTCAGTGGACAGCCTGCAGGGCTTCGGTTCTCAATGGACAGCCTGCAGGGCTGGGTTTTCTGTTTTGGAGGAAACCTCCCTGGGGTTAGCATCCCCATCTCGATGCGGCACAGCCTGAACCTCTCAAAACTGTCGGCATCACGTTTGCATTTTCTCAAACTCTTACTCGTGCATTGGTCTCTGAAAGTAATACACGGCCGTCCACACTAAGATGTGGATGTCGGTGTCTATCCCAAAGACTGGCGTTAAACAGCAAGGGGACGTTTTTTAAAGGGGACTTCTCTTGCACAAAACCCAGAGTTACTGTAATGTCAGCATACCTGGTTTCACTTTTAAGAAACCACAATTTTTTTCCCTTTAGAATTATCTCACCATAAATGTCCAACAGTTTCTTAACTCAACACATGCACTCAGTTTTCAAAGGAAGAAAAAAAAATGTGTCTTATTACATGATCCTGACTGATTGCTTTTTGAAAATAAAAACTTCAATTTTGAACAACAGAGGACCTGAAAGACATCAGGAAGTGTTTCAGAAACCAGAGTGCAGAGAGAGAACCTTGTTTCTGCCCTTTAACTCGCAGGAGTTGGAATAGAATTCCTGAGTTGAGATGTGCTGTAGTTACAGATAAGCTTTTTCCAAGCGGATTCCGGGTCACTGCCCAATTCCCAGTTGTTGAAACACTGAGTTCTGGTAGAAGCAGCAGCACCAGCAATAGAAACAGGGAAACCAGGGCCCTGGTTCTCATGCCCTCTCTGGTTACACTCAGTGAATTTTCCACAGAGACTGAAGCTGCCATAGGGAGCAAACACGTGTGTGAGTGCCCAGGTTCAGAGTCTCCCAAGTCGTGGCAAATGTTGTTTTGCTCCTGTTTGTACGCTATGACAATTCACCTTCCTGTTAGAAGAAGTCACTGGAGTATTTACGGTCTAAAGACCATTTTGTCCATGGAAATAATTTTTATTGTTCTGAGTCACTCTGTTGTGTGGAAATGGAGCATGAGTTCCAGGACGAGGATGAGATGATGTGTTTGCTTTTCTTTATTCCCTCTTAAATGGTTTTGAATGCATGAATGTCCGTATTGTCAAAGGGTTTCCATATTTTTATTAGTTTAGAAGCACCGCCTGTAGTGATGTCTCTTCACTGACAGTCTGCACTGTGTACTCAGCATGTTGGCAGGACTGCCTGCCCAGTGTGATGTGAGCTTGTTTTTCTCTTAGTCCTGCTCATGTCTCCTCAATGGATGCTTACCATTTTAAAGGTTGCGGAAACCTTAGGAAAAATTGAAATTCCTTTTGCTGAGCTACCAGAGGGATTAAGTTGTAAGCTTCTGAGGGCACACACCTGTAATCCCACTGCTCAGAGGCAGAAGTATGAGGGTCATGAGTTCAAGGCCAACGTGAGTTACCTAGTAACATGCTATCTCAAAATAGAATAATTTTAAAAAGTAAAAATAGATTAAGCCTCCATAGTAACATTTCCTGTTGCCGCCCAGAGCATCTCCATGATAGATAAACTGTAGACCCAGGGAGTCCCTGACCTTCATTTCCCAATATATCTTTGGTTTCACAACAGTTCATTAATGACCTCTGGGGAACTAAAGCTTTTAAAACACATGAATATAAATTTTAACAACAGGATTGATGTGGGATGCCCCTCTCTATGCTGTGAATGTGTTATTACCATTTGTTAATAAAGAAGCTGATTTGGCCAATAGCCAGATAAAATATAGCTATGCTGGAAATCCAAACAGAAACAGAGAGAAAGAGCGCAGAGTCAGAGATGCCATGTAGCTGCCGGAGGAGTAAGATGCTGGAGTATTACCAGTAAGCCATGGCCACATGGAAATACATAGATTAATATAAATGACTTAATTTAAGTTGTAAGAGCTAGTTAATAATAAGCCTGAGCTTTTAGACCAAACAATTATAATTAATATTAAGCCTCAGAGTAGATATCTGGGAACTGGCAGGCAAGAGAGAAGTCTCCAGCTACACAGGACAGGCTATACTTACTGAGAAGCCTTGGGTAAATGGCATTCCAGAAAGGACTTGCGAATCAACTAATGACTGTCCTTCCTTTAGACTAAAATGCCGAGTTACTAGTCATCACTGTTCCTTCAGTTACTACTCTCAGTGTGTGTGATTTTGACCATCTTACTTAGGCTTAAAATTTTCTCACAGGGATAAGACAACTGGGTGGGTCTCCTGTCTTCTTGACTTACCAGCATGCTGACTGGTCAGCCTCCAACAGTGCCCTAACTAGTTAACCCTCTTAGGCTAGAGTTCTGGTCAGCCTTACACTAGAAGGAAACTGACCAGATTTCGTTTTGTGTTTGAGGCACTGTATCGCTCTGTAGGCCAGACTGGCCTCGAACTCACAGCAGTATTCCCAAGTTAACCTCTGAAGTTCCAGAACTGCAGGCATGAGTCACCACCACCCCCAACTCCAAATAAGTGCTTCCTAGCAAATAATTTCTCCTCTTAGAAATGATTAATACTGATCCTGCTCTCTGCTGTATAGCTACACAATATACACTTTTTATATCCACGAGAGAGAGAGAGAGAGAGAGAGAGAGAGAGAGAGAGAGAGAGAGAGAGAGAGAGAGAGAGAGAGAGAGAGAGAGAGAGAGAGAGAGTGTTCATGCATGTGTGTGTGCGTGCGTACATCTGGGAGTGCGGTTTGGTGCTCAGGTGTGGAGAGTTGGTTTTTCACATTAGGAAGTGGTCGGTATTAACGTGAGTTGTTTTATTTTCAACAGGTTGATATGATGAAGGAGGCTTTGGAGAAACTTCAGCTCAACATAGTAGAGATGAAAGACGAGAATGCAACCTTGGACGGTGGTGATGTCCTGTTCACAGGTACACATACACTGATTTCCTGTTCTCCCACCTGGCTCAAACTTGCTTGTTTCATCAACATGTTTCTTAGTTATCAAATTAATGAATACTGACCGCGGTGGTCTAAAAATTTCAGAAAACCACAGTGAAGAAGAAAGAATGGCCTTCCATTTGGAGATAATCAGTGTAATGTTCACATACATTTCAGGCTTCCTTGCAGAGCAGGTCCTTTTTACTGGGAACATTCATGTGCATAACTGATTATTCCTTATAAGGAGATTTTGATATGTATCATGTTTTCTATAATTGGGTTTATATGCTGCGTAGTATTTCCATTGTGTAACCATATACCAGGTTTGTACTTAAAAGATTCTTAATTCAAAATTAACATCATTTACAAATAATTTCTTTCCAGATGGCAAGATGAATTCAAATACATTTCTGTGCAAATTGATTCGGCTGCGTGCCAGCATAACTCAGTGAAATATAAATGCTGGCATTATTATTGACCTGACCAGAGTTGATGTTGGATGGCTACTAAAGAAACAAAAGCTACAGCAGTTATCCTTTCCACTTCTTTATGATGCTGGGTTATTAAGTAAAATCACCATCCTCACACTCATTCTGGTTATACTGAAGAGCAAGATAATTACTAGAATTTTCATTTCTAGTGCGATCTTGTTTGCCCCTAAATGTCAAAGGATTTCACCATTGTAGTCCAAATACAGAGAGTGTTCCTGAAGGACTAGAGAAAGCAGCCTGGCATGACCCAGTGAAACCCAGGCTTCTTGGGAGTGAGTCTGAGTCTCGCTCATGAATCCCACATATGTAGCCAAAGTACAGCCCCCTTTGTTGTTCGGACAATGTCTCGTATTACTAACATTTAGATTCAGTGAATGTTCCTGGAGAAGGGGGAGCAGCTTTACTGTGTGACATTTTAATTCTTCTTGCTTGGTGTCCTGTGCCGGTGGCATGCACACAGGGGCTTTTGTGACTAGCGTCCGGTGAAGGCTGTGCTGCGTGCCAACCAGCCGCTGTCGCCTGACACAGGCCAGGGCCCTGCCTCTGGAGTTTCGGCTACGTGTGCCTTGAACCCTCAGAACACAGAATGAGGGAACAGACCGTACATTTGTAGCTCCGGTTGTGCCCAAGCCAGCTCGGCCGCTCTCCGACTCTTCCCAGTGAGATCCCCCAGATGGTCTCGCACCTCTCGTGGGTAGCACCTTCATTCTTTCACAGACCAGAGCAGCAGCCTGTATCCTCCCAGAGAACGGCCTTCTGCGGAGCACCGGATGTGTGGGCCACGCCTCCTTGCAGTGCAGAGCTGACCCCATCAGGACACACATCAGGCGTCTCTTCCTTTGGTCACAGTTCTTCCCCAGGCGCGTGGAGCCCCCACCTTTGCCTCATTGAGCATGGAGCCTTGCCCTCGATACCGTCTGAGCCTTTCTTGAGTTCACGTCTTAGGGGCTGTTTTATTCAAAGCTGAGATAAGGGGCTTTGAATGGAAGCACTTGCCACTCCAGGGTGAGGACCTGAGCCCTAGCCCCCAGAACCCACAGAAAGCCAGGACCAGTTCCACACATCTGTGGTCCCAGCGTGTCTCCGGTGAGGCAGGGGAGTGGGGCCTGGCAGGCCTGACTTGCACCTCGGTCAACAACACACCCCGCCTTAGGCAGGATGGTTAGTTTAAGGACCAACACCCAAAGTTTCCTCTGATCTCCACACTTGCACCCCCGTAGGCCCCCAGTCCGCCCTCCATCTCTCCTTTGGTAAAACATAAGATTTACAGTTTTCCCATCTTTAAGTGTGAAAGCCCCTCAGTTTTTACAGCAGGCAGAATGAGGTAACTAACAGATGCTGTAGCATTTTCTGTGTGCTCTCTGCCCCTTCCTCCCATGACTCGACGCTTCATTAATAATTTATCAGGAAATGGACAGGAGGAGAGCTACTTTCCAATTCCACTTCCTGCTGGGAAATCTGTCAGTCACGAAAGCAGCCACTGGGAAAAAATTGTTTCCATCCCATTTCCCTTGGATAGATAGCATCGGTTTGCCCCTTATTTATTTATTTTGTGGAATATAGATTTCACATGCCCACCCCTGGATCCTCCAAGGACCACAGAAACCCCATGGTCCCCTCATCCAGCCTCAGGAAGTCATTCGCTTTACTGTCTGTAGATCATTTCCTGATCTTTCTTGGGAGTTTGTCTCGGTATATGTATTTCTAAGTTTTATGGTATTTAATGTTGCATTTCTTGTAAGTTCCTATTGCTGTAGTGGTCACGATATAAATTCTTGTGTGATTTTTCTACTTTTGACCTAAATTGACAGATGTAAATATAATAGTTTTCTATGTTGAGCGTTATTCTGTGGAAATAAATATACCACCAAATACTCATTTTACTAATGGTTTGTAGTGTGGGGACCTCTTGGATTTTATCCATTATTGCCATTAACACTGCTATGTCTGTCCCTGTGTCTTCTGGGCTCATGGATAAGAACTACTCTGTAAGGCCAACACTTGAATTCTGGGTTCTCGGATAAACTCTTTCCTGATTCTCTGTGATGATTATGTGATTTTCCTTTTCCATCTCAGCTTTCTCATACTTGGTCGGCCTTGCATATCAGGGATAAAAGTCAACTCATCATTATTCACTTTTTCATACTTTGTTGGATTTAGTTTACTAATACACGCCAATCCCTTTTCTTTCTTGTTCTCCTCATCTGGTTTTGGTAAAACTGTTGTATTACTCTCAAAATATTGTGTGGGGGGTGCTTCATATTTCTCTGTTCTTTGCAATCAGTGCTATTTATATTGCATATCCCTCCAGCTTTACAGGACAAATGCATAAACAGTTCCTGGCACTGGCACTTCGTTGGTGGGGAGATTTCAACCCGATTCAGTTACTTTAATGACTATATAACTATTTAGGCTTTCCCGAGTCTGTGTTGGCGAGTCCCATTTTCTGATTTTTATCTCCTTTATCTCAGTTATCAAAATGTTGGCTATAAAATTATTCTTAATGTCTCTTCAAACTCCATAGCCATCATTTGCCATGCTTTGCCTGCCTCCCTTGGTTTCCTCTGCCTCTAGAAGTTTGCCAGTTTTATCCATCTTTTCAAAGGACTAAATACTGGTTTTTGTCAACCCTTTCTCTTGTGTTTCTTTTCTCTCTTTGTTTTTTCTTTTAAATGTCTTTATACTCTCTTCCTTTTTCCTTGCATAGTGAATTGACATTTTATCTTGCCAACTTTTAAATGTACACTACTCTAATGTATAGATTTCTCTCAACTACTTTAACTTTTCCTTTCTTTCTTTATTTCTGGTTTTTCTTTGTTTGCTTAAGACAAGATCTCATGTAGTCCAAGCTAGCTTCAAATCCATTATATACTTAATGATGAGCTTGAATTCCCAATCCTCCTGCCCCTACTAGAATTACAGGCTTGCTCTACCACACCCAGGGAGGACCTCTGTTTGATATCAGTATTTCCAATACCATTTAGTTCTAAATGTCCCCTAAATTTCTGTTAGGATTCATCATGGACTCACTAGTAGATGATAATAGATTTATTTTTAATGTGATTTGGAGACTACCAGCTCTACTGTAATTGTAGACGGGAAAGCCATTTAGCCCATGTTTCCTTTAGGAATTATGTTTCAAGCAAATCAGTTTTTTTCTTCTTAGAGTTCTAAATGTATATGCAGATCTCTAATTTAAAAAGTGGATCTGTACCCAGGGATTAGTGGAAACTGAAACCACTGTGTGGAAACTTAGTGGGAAAACATAGTGGAGGAATTAGGCAGTGTCGCTGAACCCACTTGGTCATTCTAGTCCCGCCTCACTGAAATATTTGTGACCAGTGGTCACATGATTTTTGTGAATAATGGCTATGTGGACCTTTCTGGAAAAAGAGAAAATGTAACTATCAATTTACTGACAATACAAAGAGTACAGGAAAAACTGAATGCTACGGTGTTAGGGAGACCTCAGCCAAGTCTGATCATAGGAGGTGAGGAAAGGCCTGGCTCCTCTTAAAAGGGAATGAGGTGGAAAAGAAAGGAAATTGGATTATTTATTTATCTTTTTACATTTTGTAGGGTTTTTCCCATACAATATATTTTGGTCATACCCTTTCCCTCCCCACTAGTCCTCCCAGAATTACTGAATTATCATCACTTAAATGTGTATGTTTTGTCTGAATGTGTACCACATGCAGGCCCAGTACCTGTGGAGACCACAAGGGGGCGCTGGATTCCCTGGAACCATATTGTTGAGTGCGGCATCCCTGCCGTGTCCAGAAAACACTGCTCCCAGCAGACATCCTATTCCTCTGACCCGTACAATCTTTCAGCCTGTCTGAGACATTCCCTGAGCCATAGGTACAGGGGTTGTGTCGTGTATTTATAGCCTTCTTAAGGGCACAGGAAAGAAGCAGCGAGTCCCCTCATATATCTGGGCAGCCACCACCAGACATTGTGGGACGTTTTTCATCTTCCCAAGCTGAAACCCCATCACCATTTAGAAACCACTACCCCATACCCGTTGACCCCTTCTCCCAGCTCCCAGAAACTGCCATGCTAATTTCTGTCTCTTAAGTCCGAAAGGCTTGTCTAAGGACAGTCACTTAGTCAGTTTTTTGGAAGGGGAACAGGAGTAACTCTCCCAATGGAGAAGAGAACTCTGTGATCCTTTAAGGTTGTTATTATAGATGGAGAAACCGTCCTCAGGGCCACTGACTCATTATGTTCCTTCACATCTATTATAGGCCGAGAATTTTTTGTGGGCCTTTCCAAAAGGACAAATCAACGAGGTGCAGAAATCTTGGCTGATACTTTTAAGGTAAGTGGAAGATGTTTGTGCCTGGCTCAAAGTAATTGCTTAATAAATATTCATAGCACCATTGAATCAATATGTCATGCGTAATTGTGTTTATATTTCACCAGCTTTAAAAAGTTATTCTTAGTATTTGTACGTTTGCTGGATGTTTTAAAGTCTATTAAATTCAAATTTCTCAACAATTAGGATCCATTGAGCTCTCTCAGGAACAAGAAAGTTAGTGTGTTCACCTTCTGGCTTTTCCAAAGGCACAATCATACAAACACTAGCACGCATCCCTGACAGAATCGCTTTTAAAAATTAAAGCCTGGAGACCCAGATATGCCTGATGCTGTGTGTGATTTTCAGATTGGAATGTGGGCTGTCCTCTACTGGCTGCTTACTGTGTACTGGAAACTGCAAAGTATTGCACATGCCTTCCCTCCAGGTCCCTTTACAGCTGTGGGAAGAATGCTTAGTAAGGGAAACACACACACACACACACACACACACACACATGCACACATGCACGCACGCGCGAACACACCTCTCCCTTCTGGAATCGCTGTTCCCTATGGGAACGTGAAGTTCCAGTGGCCCACAGTGTCCACAGGGGATTCAAACAGCCCCCCCCCCCCAGTAGCCTGCTCTGCAGGCAAAGGAACTAGCAAAGCTTGTGACAGTCAAACTCTGGAAGGAAACTGCTGTCTTCTGACAAGCAGTCTTCGTTTAACTGGCAATACCAATGCCTGTAAGTCAGACCCACCATACTTTTGACATACTCGTAGTTCCTTTTTTCCAGAGGGTGGGTGGGTAGGGGGCTGGCAGCCTTCAAGAGAGCAAGGGTGATTCTGGCAGTTTCTAATCCATCTTGGAAGTTGCTCAGCAGTAACAACCCTTTCGTCTTTCTGTCTGTCTGTGTAGGACTACGCCGTCTCCACAGTCCCTGTGGCCGATACTCTGCATCTGAAGAGTTTCTGCAGCATGGCTGGGCCCAACCTGATTGCAATAGGGTCCAGTGAACCTGCGCAGAAGGCCCTCAAGGTAAACACAAAATGTGCTTCTAGGTGCAGCGGGCTTTGCCTGGCCACAGGCTAGACACCAGGCACACCAGGCTTCCTTCTGTGGCCAGGTTTCTGAATGGTAAACACCAAATCCGTGGTTTTACACCCTGGGGAGTTGGTAGATTAAGGACTTGTTACAATATTCTTATCCTTTTGTTGTGCCTATAGTACTGCATAATAACCTTCTAGAAAGTTCTGACTCTGAAGAACCTAGAAATCTTGCCTTCTCTGCTCTTATTTCCAACGGTAAACTTCAGCACAGGAAACGTCCTCCATTTCTCGGAAAGCCCTGGAATGCTGTGACTTTCTGAGTCCCGGAGCTAGATCTAGGGTGGATGAAGAGGGCTTTCCACTGTGGCCATGGTTTCCCCTCGATAATGCTTCTCTAGTCTGTAGCTTTGCCCTGGGAGATAATCTGCAGGCTCTGGAAGGGTAGAGACCCAGTTTACTCTCCTGTGAGTTCCTTCCTGTCTGGCCCTTTACGGACCCTGAATATGTTCCTGGTGAAGGGTGAGGTGGCTTTATCTCCTCTGAGCTGCTAAACTAGAGTGCCTTGCTGAGGCCACAAGGCTGGCCCTAAGTGATCTAGAAGAGCAGCCCCTTCCTCTGAGGTGGTCCTTCATGTCAACATGCATAGCTCATCCATGAACCAAAACCCAGAGACTCCTCAAGCAGAGAGAGCGAGGGTGACCCGCCTGCCCGTGTACGCCATGGATTGCTTTGCTGCTGTGTGTCTGTCGCCCTCTCCCTCAGCTAACCCAGGCACAGCCTCACGAGGAAGCGATGATTGCCTTGAGCAGTTTCCCCTCTGTGGTATTTGCCACTCTTTCGGTCTTTTTCCCTAGCTGTACCTCGGCTTTTAACAGCTGTCGTTGAATTATCTGCTGGATTTGATTGTATTAGAATGGTTTTCTCTGGTCTCCGTATGTAGAGCATGCCTTTTCTTTAGCTTCATCTGGGAAACTATGGCAGCTTTCTGTGTGCAGGGCAGATAACGTCTCGAACGAAAGCATTTGATGAATGGTGCCATCCAGGGGACCAGGGAAGGTGGTATTTCTCCTTGGGGAGTAACTGTGGTTATCTGTCCATGACAGCTGAGTTGGTCTGCATGTGTTTGGAGTCGATTCTCAGGGAAAGGGAACTTAAGCTGGCTTGAACCAAAGTAGGGAAAAACATAGAATAGCCCTTCTGAGAAGACTCGTCCTGAATTCCAGCTGCGTGCTGATCACTGTCTCGGCAGGTGCCGGCTCTGTCTGGAGAAACGGACACAACACAGGGAGAGGTGACATGATACGGCTAGCTGCATGAAAAGTTTCTAATTGCTGCTCAGAGGTCAGAGCAAAGCACAGAGCTCCCTAGTAGCTAATCAGAGGAGGCCCTCTGGGGAAAAGGGACTAGAAGTCTGTCAAAAATAATAGCATTTGCCGGGGCAGGGTTCCGTGAGGGAGTACTCCAGGTGGGGACACAGTATATTTCGACACTGAACCAAGTGAGGCCGTGAGGTGTGATCAGCTTGCCCCGCGCCTCTGGATGGAGCAGGTGGGATCTACAGATGTTGTAGTTTACACATGAGGGCGAGAGAGTTGTCATGTGAGGCGTGTGAGTACCTGTCCATCTCTGAGAAGAAAGATCATTCCTTCAGGGATGCTGAGTCAGGAATCTTCTTTCCAGTCATCCCCACTGCAGCCAGAAAAGAGGAGCACTGATAAGCTGGCAAAATCCATCAACCAAACAGTGGTTCACACCCCAGTGCCCAAGTATGTCTTGGTGTGTGTCCCGTTTCCCTTCATTGACAAGTTCTGCAAGGTGGCACCTCTTAGAACATTCTAGAGAGACTTCCTAGGCCTTCCTGCTGAGCTCAGCTGTATATGAGCAATGGTGGCCATTCTCCACCTGAAACCTTCTGTAACAGAAGCTATAAAAAGCCCTCAAGCTCCAAGGGCGCTCTTTGGGGATCATTTTTCCACTGGCACATGTGCTGCCTAAACCATGGGCCTGTGGAGCAGGCGAATGCCCGCCTGTCGTGTTCCCAACATCAAAAAAATATCCTTTCCCTCTGTAGCGAGAGCATGACAAACTCGGTGGGAGAATAACGAGCTTACCCACAGGGCGTGGCCTCGGGTCAGAAGGAGGTGGTCAGTGACGTCACGTTTAGGTGACCTGAGGTGCTCCTTTACCCGAAAACAGCTTGGCTCCTGTGTAAGTCCAAGGGCTGACATGGAGATAGGCACCCTGATAAGGACGAGCGTGACAAGACACAGGAGCACGCGTGTCATTTACAGAAGCAGAAGCAGTGTGGGTGTGGCGCTCCCCGCCTGATGGGTGGAAATAGACTGGATGGAATGAACATTTAGAGTAGAGTCTTATGCCTCCAGGCTGTAGTCTTCTGGATCTTCAATCTCCCTCCTTGATTCCCTACTGTGTTCATCAGCCTGCTCGTGCTGTGACAGATGGCCTGAGATAAATCAACTTAAAAGGATTAAATGGGTTTAGTGACTTCTGTCCATGGTCACTTGACCTATGGCAAGCCAATACCATGGAGAGGAGCGCTCGGGGCAACACAGCCACTAACCTGATGCCGGTGGGGAGGAAGTGGGGGCGGGAGGGGCAGAGGGGGCTGAGGACTCAGGATCTCCCACAAAAGCACTGTCTTAGAGTGACAGAACCCACTCCCACTGGGTGCCACATCCTAAGAGTTCCGCCTCTTCCCATCAGTGCCACAGGCTGGTCTTCAAGCCGCTGACACACGAGCCTTTGGGGAGACAGCCCAGAATCAAACCATAGCTCCTACCCTACTCAGTGGCCATTCTCTTTCTATTGGCAAAACTTTTCTAGTTATCTTTTTCACCAGACGTTGGATCTCCCTAGCCTCTCCTCCCTCCAGGCATTTACATATGTTTATGTGGGTGTGTGTACTCACTTGCCATTGCCGGTACCCAGAATTTGACTGGTTTCAGGGAAGCTGTGAATTTGGTTCCAAATACTGTTTTCCTCACCAACCTAGCTAGCTCTGTTACTGTCTGGGTGGGGAAGCCACCGCCCCTTTGGCATTTCTTTAAAGGGAGAATCATTCAGCAGAGGTGACTGCATACACCAAAAACTTTCCTTATCCATCTTACCTCTCTGATATGTTTCCTTCCGAATCTGAAGCCCCCTTTTCACACATGTGTTTAAATCTGAGACCCCAGGGAGTTGTGAATCAATAGTATTACTGTATTCGAAACATTTTGCCATGGTTTCCTATCCATTCTTGGCTAAGAAGTGGGTGCTTATGTATGCGGTCATCATATAATCTAGGTTATGTATATGGACATCATGTAACCTAGGTTCTTATGTATATGGTCATCATATAATCTAGGTTGTGGTGAAACTAAGATCTCAGTTTTAATTAACCTCTTCTTGCTGTAGCTTAACTTGGGTAAGATGAAACCAGTTGATAATGTCTCCAGCTTTGATCACTGCAGAGAAGGTAACAGTACTGGAAAGGCACTCTGTCCAAAGAGTAGCTTGTTATTGGCCCAGAAAGCCATCTTTGTAAATTGTAATTCATACCTATCCTTACTGTTAGAAAAGATGTCCATTTGATTTCCTGGTGACCAAGCAGTGCCTGGAGCCTATATTCTTTAATAACCCATTAGATTCACTGAGACTAGAGGCAACTTGATTTTAAGCCTGAGCTTCTCCTCCAGCAAAAGATCCAAATACTAGAAGGGGCAGCCGTCAAGCAGCTCACATGGCTGGAAGCTCATTCACACAGAAGTCAGGGACACATATCCAGGAGCCCACAGTCCACAGTGACACGTTAGTCCGGAAGGCCCTGTTCTCTAGTGTTGGGTGTCGGAAGAGCCTTGCTGGCTTAGGGTTATCACATGTCATCCTAGGTGTTGTAACTACATCTTGGGGGTCCTCTTGGACTGCTTCCAGTCCTGGGAGGCAGTAGGAACCAAATGTATAAATCCACTGTGTACTGTCTATCTTCTTGAATTACTCTAGTTCTCTCAGAATCACTGGGGTATGCCCACAGTGACACTGACATACTCCCAAGGAAGCTCATAAACCTGGGGAGATGTTGAAAACCCTCAAATGATCTCAAGATCATCAAAGAAACTACTGCTCCAGGCGGTCGGTGGCACACACCTTTAATCCCAGCACTCAGGAGGCAGAGGCAGAGGCAGATAGATATATCTCTGTAAAGGAAGCCAGCCTGGGCTACAGATCTAGTTCCATGACAGCCAAGGTTACACAGAGAAACCCTGTCTCAAAAACCCAAAAAAGGAAGAAAGAAAACAACCCAAACCCTGGTTGTTGGTCTGCTTGAGGTCCTGTATAGAGAAAGGTCACTGAGCACAAACAAGTCCGTATGCTGGAAGGGGGCACACAAACAAGGGAGTTACACATACTATTGTTAGTAAAGAATGTGGCTGTGCGGGTGGGCTCACCGGACTCCTTTCCCAGTAGGAGGTGATGTTGCTAAAGTTCCAGGTGTCTCTGGGTTGAGAGTGTTCAATCTTATTTATGAGGACTATTATGTTTGTATCCAATTTACATGATTAGAAAAAAAAATCTAGGTTTTCTGGTAAAGTAACCAAAGTTTACATAAAGCACTTGCTCAACTGTTCGTGAAAGAACTCTAATTGTAGAACAGTGTGGAAAAGCGCTGTCTTCTGGACATGGCCGTTGTACAGCATAGCGGTTACTTGCACAACGGGGCACCCATCAACATTCTGTCCTGATTGGAGGAGTATCTTCCTAGGGAGCCAGTGACCGCAAGCCCATGTATGGGGGACTTATGGAAGGCTTAACCAGAGGAAGGATGGGGGCGGGGGACAAGCAGCACATGAAGTCAGCTGCCTTGATCTGAAGGTCGTAGGCAGTGTTGGTCTAAGTGGGGGCTTGTTGAGTGATGGGGTCCTTGGGAGGTAGTTACTGCCATTCCGGGGTGCAGCCCATCTTCCTGGATAGTTGCCCCTCACCTGAGGG